CAAACAAGAGAATTACTCATCTAAACTGGAAAGGTGGAATGGGCCTTTAATTCAGAGCATAGAGGGACGAGGTGATAGATTTGTCAAAGGTTGGACATAAAAGACTATGGGATCATGTTCTACAATGGTTCATCAGAAACATATGGGGGATAGAGAGACACGGGGGAGCTGTGGAGAACGACTTGATCATATTCATCAGACTGGAGTTTCAACAAGTTCAGGCAGTAAAATCCTATCACAGACATATCTGTTAACAAGAATTCTTACACCACTAAATCTCACATTGGAAAACATTTAATAATAAGAAAAAACAACATGCCTCATTGTGAGTTCCTTATGTCAGTGTGTTTTCTAAACTAATCATAATCACATCTGTTTGCTGCCATATAAAAAAACTCTTTCCATCGGTCTCCAATCTGTCTATGCTTCTCACAGATCTGCTGTTGGCACTCAAACAGCTCCCTAATTACAATTACAACACCCAAGGGGCCGCTACAATCCCTGCCAACAATGACTTACAATAGAATAACTGAGACGAGAAATAGCATCAAATGTAGCATTAAGACATCATTTGAGCTTCCAACATGTAAAACAGGCAGACAAACTTTCAAATAACGTTACCAGAAGCTGCCTTTTCATACCTGCATTTCACTCAATGAGGAAGGAGGGCAGTGCATTCACTTAAAAGTGAGTGGAAAAATGCAAATGCAGTCCACTTTATCATCAGGCATTCAAACAGACCCTTTCAACTCGGCAATCCATAATATTTCAGCCTTGACGCTCAGGAAATGGCCACAGCTCGACGGTAACACAGAGCTGGATTCTGTTGGAGCGGTAGCAGGACTAGTGTGACTGGCTGGGCTACACACACACTGTGCATGTTAAAACCACATGCAGCGTCTTGGCAGCAAAGACGCTACAGCGGCAGCCAATCAATAAAACCTTGTTACGCTAATTGCAAGATCATAATCTCTGTTCCTACTTCTGCTGAATATCCAAACAGTCACTCCATTAGCCGAATTATTCCCCTGTGCAGTTTCTCCATCTCTCTTTCTCCCCGCTGCCCCCCCCCTTCCATTTCCTCCTTGTGTTCTTTTTTTTTACTGTGACATATTTCTCTCAAACAGCAGTTCTGCTAAATGAATTCATAAGTCAGGGAGAAAGACATCAAAGCAAAGCATTGTCAAGGTAAAGTGCTGATGAAGTATAGTGTTTCTTTCACTTTGCTGCGGAGCTATGAGAAGGCATCTCCACACTGCATGTATTATCTTTGATCGCATCGTTCCGCACTGTTCTGTTTAGTATTAGAAAGAGAAATACCACTTCAGGTGAAGGTCTACGAGAACCTTTATAATAACAAAAAAGGCTCTCTACTTGGTGCTTCTCCACTTTCCTCCGTGGAGAATTTGTGTCTCCTTTTGTGCCGTGGATCAGATCAAACCTCAGAAAAGACACTGGAGCAAGCTTCTCGTCGTGGTTACTTACTACTTTGTTGCCACGACAATGGTCAGTGGCCACAGGGGCAGACAAAGAGCTTGTTGATGCCAAGACCAGGGTCCGTGACCTTGTCATTGAATCAGTAACACTTTGTCACTCTGCTGGGGGGGGAAAGAGAGAGACTGGAAGGAACACTACAGAGAAGTAAGCAGGGTCAGACTGCCATGCTCATGGGAACATCGATATGACAATGGCACTGACCCCGTTTCCTCGTGACTCATCACAAGAACATACCCATCTAAGCATCTCACTGTATGAAGCAGTTGGCCGGAGTTACTCAACAGGGCCCTGCTTCTGTCCTATATGAATGTACCTTATGTAAAAAAGAAAAAAAAAGGTATTTATATGTGAGCCAGATTAAATAGAGCGATTACATGCAGAAACGGAAGTGAGAGACAGTAGAGCACTAAGAGACACACTTTCACAGTTTGGAGGTGGAACCGCTGACCCAAATGCATTTAAATGCAACCGGGGTAAGAGAGAAAAAGTAAACGAGCAGAAGAGGGGGAGTCGGAGTCATCGTGAAAAAGAAAGATAGCAAACTAAAGTAAGATGATAAAGCGGCAAGCAGGGAAAATCGAGCTTTAGGCAGTATGATTTGTTTTTATCCAAGACGGAATATAATGAGAATAATGCAGCTACTGTACAGTATATACTGTGCAACACATTTCTTCAGGAATAAAACTAGTTAATAAAAGAATTGCCCTGCAGCTGTCTTTTTTCTTTGTTACTTTCACCATTGTTTTCTCAACACAAACAACACAAGCGTAAACTCATATACAGTCAAACACTAAATCCAGTGAAAAGGTCTAACTTGCAGAGAACATAAGCTGTTTCAACTGCGTTATTATTGTTTTGCAGATTGCATAGAATAATTTAATGCACTTTAACCAATTTTAATTATGACTGGTTTTCAGAACTGTCAGCATACAGTATATACCAAAAAGATGAAAACACTTTCTTCTTCTTCTTTTCTTTATGAGTGCGCTGTTGATGCACGGTGTACATAGAAAGTTGAGAAGCGAGACGAAATTTGAAACTACAGTTCATGGTAAAGCTCAAAAAATATCTAAAAAAACTAAAAGGAATAATACCTTTTTTAGAAAAACATTTAGCTGCATCTTGTTAAGTTTAATTGTCCAATGGAATTTGATCGACAACTGACACAATTATAACACTTTAAGTATAAAAGGGAATTTATTAAGGAAATTATATTTTAGCTATTTGAGTTCTTACTCCAAAAACAACAATTATAAGCAAAGGTATATAACACTTATTATAGCGTAGCCTACTGTAAACCATTAGCATTAGCATTGTGCATCACCAGCACAGTCAAAACTGCACCACCTTTAGTCTACATACTGACTTTCCTACGTTAATCGATTTTGTGAGTTTTTCCATGTGAACACACTGCATACTTAAAACGTACTTAGAATGATTATGTACTGTGTTGTAGAATTAGGTCACAGCTAGGGATGTTCAGATCAGTGATTTTTCCTATTTTTTCCATTTCTATGTTTTGTTGTCAGTGTGTGTCCACCCCTAAGGCCCTCCCTGATTCAAGCTGTCAGAGGAAAGGAGAGGCTGAACTTGGTGAAGCGGAGAATAGAGCAAGGCACATGTCAAATATGAGGGGATCTTTGAGTAAACAAAGTATAACACAGAGCAAAGCAAAATCGTCTCTCATCCCATCACTGTGTTTCACGCTATTTCTTCTCTCAGTCTCTATTTCTCTTGCTTCCTTGATCCCCACCTTTCCCTCCATTTTCTCTTCTCTATCTTTCATGCCACATTTGCGATGTTTTATCTGTCCCTCAGTAATTCAGCTAAAAACATTGTGCACATCAGCACGACTTGTAATCAGTCAATCAGCACTGCAGTAAAAGTACATGCGCTGAATCAAAATGGGCGATAAAGGCAGTGGTTCTTAAGATTTTTCAGAAAGCCAAGTACCAGCACGAGAAATCTGTCGAATTACAGCACCATCTTACTGAAGAGATCACTCTGTAAAAGACATGTTTGGTGTTAGATTTTTCTAAATAAACATAGGGAACCTTGTGCAAGCAGCAGCATAAGCAGCTCCTTCTCTTACTCTGGGCCTTGAGCCACACTTTAACAAACCAGCGCATTAAGAAATTAAGAAAAACAGGGAATGTAACAGAAACACAGAACTACTGTAGCCTATGGGAGGTTCTAATAATTGCAATTGACAGGGACAAATTCCCTGCTCCCCTGTGTATGTCAGATGGGCTTATTCCCAAACTCCACAAATCCCCCTGTCCAAACACAACCATATGGTCTCCCAGTTGTTGGCAACCAGCTGTGCTACACTGTATCTGGCATGGCTGCCATGTTCTGCAGAAGAGCGCTGACTCCCCCTCTATTCTAACTTAATAAATCCTTTGCAATGAGGCCAAAATTCACTCAGAGTGAAGCAGTGTTTTCTGCTTGGCTTTTACCAAAGTGAAAATTGTGTGCACAGAGGATGATTGCATAATTGGAATGAAGTGAATTTGAATTTTATGATTGCAGAGTTAGCTTAATGGTTGACACTGAAAAAAGGTTCCAGCACTTTCCCTTTTGAATGTGGATGTTTTTGCCGGTTTTGGTTCTCTGGTTTCCTCTGAATGTGCTTAATATAGTAAGGACATGACTGTGATAGACTAGCAACCCTTTTCAATTATCTCTCCCCAATGCATGCTGGGATAAACTTCAGTAAAATAGACACAACAACACATATTTAATTGTATAGAAAAACCTTCACTACTTTCACAGTTTACATCACAACCTAAAACCACCATGGCAATGTAGCAAATACTTCAGAATCAATTGAAAATACATTTGAAATACCAAACATAAATAAGTAAATTAATCTTTAACTTTCTTTAGAGGTGGATGTGTGAGTACATTGAGATTTGTTATTAATTGAAGGTTTTACAATTAATTGTTCTGTTTGTCGTTATCATATATCATGTGTTTGGTTTTCATGATATTTTATTTGTTGTGGAAAAATGTGGACCCGGGAGGAGCAGCTGTTGCTGAGGTAACAACTAATTGTTATCCAAATGAACAATAAACAATTAAAACAGGAATCTTCTGCGGTCACTTAGGTGTATTTAGACTCTAGGTTCTAAGATTATAATACATTGTTCTGTTTATTCCAAACAGGGACAGATAACACACATATCACATGTTATCATAGTATTAACCTGAACAAATACTTTACTCATAAAGTGCAGAATGCTTTGAATGTTTTTTTTCTGTTACATGTGAGAGCATAAAACCAGTTTTTTAAATATTTTTGAGAGATTGCAGTCCCTTTGCTTTCAGCTTTTCAGTCATATAACTCTGAGGTTGTTTCAGTAACAACAATTTGTCGTCCATCCTAACAAGCTTGAACAATGGCGAAATGAAAATGGCTCAGGCAACAATCATTGGAACAGATGAACTAAAATGGAAAGAGGAAAAGAGCAGGTATTCCATTAGAGATAATTTTAACTCACCTGGTTTGGCGGGAGGAAATCGTGGCTGTTTTCATTCATGTACATGTTGTCACCATCAAACTGAAAAGAGGGAGAGAGAGAGGAGAAAAACAGTCAGGCAGAGGCCGACAAATCACAACAGGGACAGAAAACACTGATTTTGAGTCAGTCAGTGGAGACACAGGGACCGTGTAACCAGTACTCAAGTTGAGGGGGTGAAGGGGGATGGCATCCCCCCTGAAATAAAAACGGTCAAAATCATTCCCACTTCTAAACTGCCATCCCCCCTTTCCATCCGATGGAAAGGGGGGATGGCAGTTTAGAAGTGGGAATGATTTTGACCGTTTTTATTTCAGGGGGGATGCCATCCCCCTTCACCCCCTCAACTTGAGTACTNATCTTTTTTTCACTTTAATTTAAAGGGGGGGAGGGGATACAAAAATGTGGTTATAATGGTACAAATCTTGTAGGTTAACAGTCCCTCATTTATTATTCAGATGGATCAGCTGATGATACTAATAATAAAGTCAAATTTGTTTTTAGAATATTGAATTATAGTGTATTTTTTCAAAAAAGCAGTTACTGGTATANCCCGGGGACTGACTCCAATTCTGAGGTGCCTTGGTCAAGAGCAATGAAAGGAGTATCTGAACATCCATAACATGCATGTTGTTTTAGGAGTATAATAATTATCTTTATGCTGGTTGGTCTCCCACCCTCTGCGCGTTATCAGCACAAATGATGTCCCCATATGATAAAATCCACCACCCCCCCTGATTTTTTTTTACAACTTGAGTACTGCGTGTAACACAGCAGCCTAATGACTGTGAGTCCTCGGCTTATAGACCTCGATACTCTGGTGGATGTCAGTAATTACAGTTCATTAGAGACACGTATAATTAGGCCCTGTCAAAGCTTGTGTAACTCACACTCTTCGTCTCGGCTTCCCGACAGCCAGAGACTCTGTGTGTAAGCGTGCACACACCTAACTGTGCAGTGATTCCTCGGGTGTCACAAAGGCACAATAGAGAGATAATAACAACACTTGTACCGAAGGCCATGTAGTTAGTCAGCCAGCAAGTTGGCCAGTCAAATTAAATCAAAGGTAACATTAACATAATCAAACAACATATGACAGGTAAGTCGGAAAATAGTTCAAACAGAAATTGATTTGCTGCGCCGCTACAGGAGCTACAGGGATTTCCAGGGGCCTACTTTTTGTGTTTAGTTTCAGTCAGACTCAAAGAAACGTGTTCCAGATGATTTCTATTGAATGGACATATTTTTGGACAGCTGTAGGAGGTTTGTGCTACTCGCTCTAATCCAACATCATTTGTGCCGTAGTGCTGGTTTTCCAAAATTCTCTGAAGAGCTGGTGATTATTATAATGACCATTAAAACAAACTTGACCAGCCATGGATTCTGTTTCCCACTTAGCCTAATCAGCATTTTAGTCTCTGCCAACCAGCCACCCAGCTAGTGACCAAGACTACACAGGCACAAAGGGTGAGAACAGCCTTTAGCTCTAATGCACTCTGCCAAATAAACGAAGACAGGGCAACCCCGCTAATCCACAACTCAGAAACCCTGAGCTCAGAAAGCCTAGAGGGGAGGCTGGAGGAAAGGTGACGGTTTGAGGTTATTGGGATGAGAAAGATGAGGGTGTACCCCTGAGCTAATGGTGAAAGAGTGGGCAGAGATCATGTATAAGTGGGAACAAGCAGGAAAGATACTGTAAGAAGGACCGAGAGCATGAATGAAAGAGAAATTGGAGAGGAGGAGAGTTGCAGCATCAGTGGCAATAGAGCCTGTGGTTGTGCTGGCTGTAGTGTGATTAACACTGGGGTCACAGCCACAGCGTGAAACACACAGGCATACAAACATCCACACAAACACACACACACACACACACACACACACACACACACACACACACACACACACACACACACACACACACACACACACACACACACACACACACACACACTCCCAGAGGCCTACCCGGCTTCCCTGTCTGACACTATTGGCACCGGCCATTTATGAGGAAACAAAACACACCTCAAGTCAGCTAGTATTGGCTAAGATCAATTACTGCTGCTACTGTAAGTTCAAGTAACTGGATGGATATGTGCCAAGAGTAACATATATATGGGTGTTTCTCAAGCTATGTGCAGGGACCAAAAATAGTCCACAATCTGTTTTAGTGGCCATGTTTCGCCTCGTGTAACATGCCATACGTTCCAGGAACTAAATGTACTCTACTGTAGCTGTTTGCTATGTTTTCTATACGAATTTGTTCCATTCAAAAGTCAGAGTTTTCTTGCATTTATGTGTTTGTCTTTATAAGTGACACAGTCAGAGCACCAAACAAACTAGTAAAATTAAAATTCCTTGCGATATTGTTCAATTTGAAGCCTCAATTCCAATCTCACCGTTATCATTCAGACTCTGATGGAGCTGTTACTTCTAGTGCAATGATTTCTGTCTGATAGCACTATTAGTTTGCTGGAGGAATAATCATTGTATTCTGCAATGAAAATGAAATCACTTTCTTTATTGCTCCTGGAAAATGATTTTACCTGCTATCCTAATCACATCGTTGGAGAGGTGACGATATATTGGAATAGTTTTTTTTTCACACTGGCAAACCAGATGTCGATGAGCAAAACATGGTAAGTTGAAAACAATTATACAGAATGTCAAAGTGCAAGCTGGAGGCTGTGGTGGTGCTCCTGCAGCACAATGAGAAGGAGTCACTGAGGGCAGAGAGTTGTTAGAATAACAAACAATATCTAAATCGAGGGGAAATGTAAAAATAATGAGTTCCTGTTTCATTGTGGGTAGCAACTGGTCAGTCAAGTTTAGTGTACTCATGCTATAGTTCGTATGCAGGAAGTACTGTGGCTAACAAATCTACACTTGACCCTAGGTTTGAGTTTAATAGGCCTTCTTATGTGTAATACATTTAAAGAAACAGGACAACATTTTGGGAAACTACATGGCCTTTTCTTACTGAGAGTTACACAGACTTGAAACAAGGGGGAAACAGCTATAGCTTGGAACTAGTTTGAAGATTAGAAATCCAAAAGCTTTAAATAATACAAATTATGTTTTATCTATTTTATTTATTAGTACACAAAAGGTAAATGTAAAGTGAGTTGTAGTTTTACTGGATTGAATAGTTCTCGTTCTAGTCTTCATGCTAAGCAAAGCATAGCCTGTCTAATGGCTTTTGCCAAAAAAATTGTTTTGTTTATTTTACTATTTCAATTTGTATTTAACCTGTTGATTATACCATGTTTTACAAACTAGGCCTACTACTTTACGGTAGTTTTTCCACATTAGTAATCATATATTTCTCAGACATACTGGTTATGAAATGTGTCTCTCTTGCAACTATAAGTGAACCAACCAACCAACCACCCAGCTCTGAGAAAGACCCAGAAGGCCTATAGTGTGTTAATAATATGACTTTCCAGCAAGAGCCTAATTTCATCATTGGTCCCTGCTCTGCATTTTGAACTAAAAGCGAATAACAAAAGCCCTGACATGTTGGGAATAATATGGACAAAAACTCGAATTTGAGATGCATAATTGATAATTGAATGTATACATGTATCTAAAGAGCCAAATAAACTACAATGCACTAAGAAAACATGAATAATGCATTTGGCTTTACAGCAATGATCGGGGAAATCTGCTCTTTCGGCCAGGTGGCGGTGGTTGTGTGCAGAATTCAGATAAAAGATGTGTCCATACAACATTTTTCTTCTCATGTAAGCTGACTCAAATTATGTAGATATTTTTAACATGAACACACAAACAGTTGAATTATGAAAAAGGGGGGTTGCAAGGAAAGGGCGAGCTTGTTGTTTCTCTCTCCCTTTCTCTGTTTGCTTTCCTTAGGCTTTGAGGTCATTAATCATAGCGGTCAAATCTACAGCAAAACAATTGAGCAAAGGAAAACACGGAAAGAGAGAGAGTGATAGGGGGGAGGTAGGTGGAGAGTGTGAAGGTGAGAGAGAGGTGGAAAGCTACAGTAAGATGGGGGAGAGGGGAGTCAAGAATTGAGGGAGTGAAATTCTGAGTTAGATTGAGGTTTGAGAAAGAAAAGTACGGCCTGTAAAACCAATGCACTCGACTCAAGACTCCTGTTTGCACAACATAAATGCAAATACACGCGATGGAGAGAATGGGAGGGAGAAAATAAAATGGGAGACATGTTATAAATAGCTTTGTGTTTGCGTAAAGCCAACCAATGTCAGTTTGATGCGGGAAGAGCTCCACAGTCATAGAGGTTACAAAACAACTGTTGACTGGAACACATGAAGTTCCAGGAACTTCAGATTGGACTTTCAGCTGCAACTCAAAACTTAAATACATATTATATATTAAAACTTTGAAGTAAGAAAAAATAAGATTCATGATCAAATATCCTCTCTTAATAATGACAGTAAGAAAGGTTGGGTCAGTTTATACTGTATACCACAGTAGGTACACTCTGTTGATCTACTGCACTCTAATTAGTGCCACATTGGAAATAAGTTTTCTCTTTTTATTAATCAAATGCTTCACTTTTATATATAAAATCTACATTTGTCTTTATGTGTTTTTATAACCCTTGGGTTTTGTCTTGGGTTTAGCATTCGCTTTGCAAGTAGGCCATGTTACATGTAAGATATTTAACAATTATGGGTTCGACGATCCATTTCTTTCCCTTCACCTGGAACCAATTCCAAAACATAAACCCTGGGTATCTATCATCACTGACTACAGATTGTATATACAGTAGCTTCTCTTTTTTAACTGCATTTACCAGATATGTAATTTTCACAATGTGGAAATTGTTGCGATACGTGAGAAATCATCATGCTCCATGGATGCTGTGCCACTCTCTGTTACCTAATTATTTGCATATCATATAGAAAAAACTCTGAATTCTATAATTCACTAATTTAATTTAATTTCAAACCTTTATTTACCCAGGTGTATCCCATTGAGATCATTGATCTCTTTTTCAAGGGAGACCTGCTCAAGTAGGTTCCACATAAAACATAAACAGAACAACAAAAAGGACA